ATCTCATCAGAACAATCAATAAAGATTGTTAATCAAATGCAGACATAAAATAAAGGAAATGGAAACTGCAATCTATACAGTCACAAATTATTGTCCCCTAGGCCATTTTCTTACCTGACACAGACAGTTACTTGAAATATACACATGTCTAAGTCTGAAATACTTTAGAGATAGTGACTTGTATGTGCACTCTCATTCCTCCACGAATATTAAGCCACAATGCTTTCCACTGTGCTTGGAAAGGTTACCCTAATCACAAGAAATCTGTAGAACTAAGATTGTCAACAGTAATGAGAAGGAGCCTGAACAAAAGATGATACAAGTTAAACAGAACTAATATGCCACAGATTGGATTAAAATGGTGAAAGAGCAGCCATTACCATGGTCTACACATGCATAGACACAGTCCTGAAAAGCTACATGTGTATGGAGGATATAAAGAAGAAAGGGAGGTAGTACAAAGTAGTATGCAACTTAGAATGAATTCACATTAAAAAAAAATAAAATGTAGATTTTCATTTATTCAGAAATTGTTCTGACTATCCAGTTTTCTTCATAGTGAAGCACATGCCACTATGTGTGTCACATCTATTGCTTTATGCCTCGTACTTATACCTCTCTCACAGCCTAATAAGCAGCAACACAGTCTATATTAATCTGGTTTATTCCTTCTCTCTATGGATGAGTTCTGAGGTTTTTTTCTCCCAGGTAACATTGTGATGTTCCTCATTCAAAGTCTTGTAGTTCTCTCTGACTTTGAGCTAAGCCCTAATATGAACTCTGCTCCAGAAAGCATCCATATTTTGAAGACAAAAATGCAGAGGGATGAACAAGCAGGATGTGAAAGTAATTTCATTTATATAATAATTGTATAATCTCTCCCTAATAGAATATTTCAGACTTGGCATGAAGAGTCTTGTGTCTCACACATAGAGACCTACCAGTGTCTTTCCAGCACCACCATTCCCCCAGATAGTGTCATTGATGCAATGGAATTAGTCATAGCATGAAGTACTCTTTGGTGTAAGTATTCCATCATGATAATACAACAAATTGTCCTAAATTGTCCTACTGCAAGAAAGCACTAAGCAAAGTCCTTGTGATGTGTAAAATTCACCTGCATAATTTGCTAGTTCTGAAATAAATGAGAATAATAATCTGTTTCCAGACAGGGTGTTTTGGAAAGGTTTAAAGAAAGGATGTAGAATTTCTGTAATTACAGACACAGCATCCACATTCTGAGATTATCCTTATCCCAATCTGAATTATGTCAAATTATATTGCAAATGCTATAGGGCAAAGGAGTATCAATATTACTACATATGCAGGATAAGCAGGATAAGCATACTGAACTTATAGGGAAAAATTCAATTTCTGGTTATTATGCAGCAGCATTTCTTCATTGGCAAAGGAGTTATTGAATTACAGGCACATCCCCTGAGGAAAAGGTGAAAGAACCTTTATCTGAGTCATTTAAATATCAACTGACTGGCTAGGGAGCAGCTTTGCAGAAAAGCAATTGAACACGAGTAAGCAGCAAGCCCTTTCAGCAATGAAGGCTAATTACATTTTTGGTTGCATTAGCAAGAATGCAGTTAGCATGTTGAAGCACTTGTGAGGCTATATTTGGAATACTATCTCTACTATCCCCCCCACACCCTCTCCCAGCCCCAGTACAACAGAGATATCAACAAATTGTAGAGAGTTCAGCAGAGGGTCACTAAGATGATCAGGGGACTGGAGCAGAAACATAAGAGGAGAGGCTGAAGGAATTGATTTTGTTCATCTTGGAGAGGAGGTGGCTAAAGAATGGCTATTGGCGTGACTCTGACTACCTAAACAGAGTTGGAGTCTTAGAAGGGCACAGTGGAAGCCAGTGTGAACAAGCTGCTGCAAGATAAACTCTGATTAGACATAACAAAAAAATGCTTCCTCTTGAGGGTGCTTCAGCACTGGAACAGATTTCTCAGAGAGCTTGTCAAATGTCTGTCCTTGAAGATACTCAGAAATCACCCGGACAAAGCTCTGAGCAACACGATCTAGCTTTGGAGTTAGCCCTGTTTTGAATAGGAATTTGGATTGAGAGATCTCCAGAAGTCCTCTCCCATCAAAATTTTTCTACAAGTATATGATTTTTATTATCTTGTTTTGCTGTTTTGAGATACCTAGGAAAAGCGTGTTGGTTTTTTTTTTTTTTTAATTTGTAAAAGCAGGTCAGCAACTCCCCAAAACCCACAAGTCTTTCGTTTTTTGTGGGTTGCACAACAGAAACAGCAGCTGCACATGCAAAACCCATCAGCAGACTTCAGTAACAAGAAGATTGTGTGATAATATGAGACAAAAAACCCACCAGCTTTCATAAGGCCTGTATGTGCCACTATTTCTGTCCAACTGTAATATGGTGAACAGAGCTGCACCCTGTGCCTCATCCTGAGAGGCTGGGCTGGTGTTGTGGTAAGAGACGCTGATGTGTTATCAAAACGGTTTTTTGAGTAAATGTCAAACCGCATCCTGTTTTGGCTAAAATTCAACTGCTATTCCCTTAAAGAGATATTTTCAAGCACATTTTGGCACATCATCTGCTCTGATTCTGAGGTACCATTTTCTGCTGAGGCCTTCGGAGATATTTCCCCCTTCTGTTGAAGACCCTGGCTATGCTAGACAGAAGCTCCCTTCAGGGTCTCCACTCCATGCCTCCTAGTCCTTCTGCCTTGCTATTGCATTCCCAGATGTTCTGCTTCCAAAGCTCCACAAGCACTCCTCTGTCTTGGCCTGTGTTATTCGACCCGTATTTAGGATACATCTATACATAAAAGGTATGGCTCTGTTCTCCTTTTATTCCCGAGTGAGCTGCCTCTGAATTACCAATAGTTTAACTTGTGCCATAAGGTAATAGCTTAATGAGATGCCAAGTAGGTGAAAGATCTCCAGAAACACTCTCCAGGATTAGTAATGCTTTGGTTTTACAGTTTATGCTGCACAGAAATGGTGCCTGGTGCCCACAAACACAGCTTTAAAGAACGACCCCCTGGTTCCCCTTCCTCCTCCCCCACAGATTAGATTCTCTTCCCTTTTTCTGAGATGCATCCTTTTTTTCTTTCCTCCTTTGCTTTTCTGTCTTTCTTATTTGTGTTATTTTCTTATACTTCTTAATTTTCCTTTTTACTCTTTTCTTTAAAAATACCACACATTTTGATAATACTTCATTCATTGTCTTGTGCAATGGAGTTCTTACCCACTTTTTTGCCTAAAACTGTGCCCTTCATTCTCACTATTCTGCTGATTAGGAGAACTTGTTCAGTGCTCATTTGAACAAGTTATAACTTGGCTGCCCTTAGCTGAAATACCATGTTAACTAGTAATTTTATTAGACTTTTCATATTCACATTGGTATGACTGATTAGGAAGTTGTCTGAAGAATGAGAAGTTGGGGGCATCAAATGAAACTGGATTTGGACTCTTTCTTATGGGAATATAGTTTATTCTAATTCTATATTTAAGGAGATAACGTACTGTAGTATGTGGAGTCAGTGACTTAGCAAAGTGTTCTAACGTACCAACACTTAGCAAAGTGTATCAACATACATCTTTATGCTACAGGTAGGTCTGCTGCTCTAAGTGATATTTTTATGCTGAAATATTGAGTTTGAGCAGCCAGCCTCACGGAAGATTTCATGACAGTAGAGAATTTGGATGTTCACATCCATGCATGTCTATTCAACAAGAACATGAATGCATGTGTCCGCACATGTACAATCCTGCACCCTATACAGGCATGAATAGCTGTGCCTGCCAGCAAATGCAAACACAGGACACATTAAGACACATACACACAAGACACATCTCTCTTTGCACAAACAGCTGTATGTATAGATAAACTTACAGTCAAGAGAGGAAAAAAATTAATCGTTTAATTTACCTTTGAAGATACTATAATCTAAAAACCAAAGAAAATAAATAGGAGATATTATTTGAGCCCAGATATGTATCAGCACCTCTTTTAAAGTGCTCTGTTTGTACAATCACGTGTATAATAGAGGGTGGGTGTGGGAATAAGAATTACATGGCTCATAGCAAGTTTGGAGAAGAACAGGATCGGATTCCTGAGCTTGGTCTCAATTTCCTGGGGACTGACAGATCTGAATTAAGTGTAGTAGACTGGCAAGAAACATGCCTTCAGTAATGACTGCTTATTCTAGATATAGGATCCTACAGAGAATGAACCCCACACCCACATATATTTTACTCACCACCTCAGCAAGTCTGCAGATGACACCAAGCTGAGTGGTGCGGTTGACACGCCTGAGGGATGGGATGCCATCCAGAGGGACCTGGGCAAGCTCGAGAAGTGGGCCCGTGTGAACCTCATGAGGTTCAACAAGGCCAAGTGCAAGGTCCTGCACCTGGGTCAGGGCAACCCCCAGTATCAATACAGACTAGGGGATGAAGGCAGCTCTTCTGAGAAGGACTTGGGGATACTGATAGATGAAAAGCTGGACATGAGCTGACAATGTGCACTCGCAGCCCAGAAGGCCAACCGTATCCTGGGCTGCATCAAAAGAAGCATGGCCAGCAGGTCGAGGGAGGTGATTCTGCCCCTTAACTCTGCTCTGGTGAGACCCCACCTGGAGTACTGCGTCCAGCTCTGGAACCCTCAGCACAAGAAAGACATAGACCTGTTGGAGCAGGTCCAGAGGAGGGTCAAGATAATGATCAGGGTGATGGAACACCTCTCCTATGAAGAAAGGCTAAGAGAGCTGGGGTTCAGCCTGGAGAAGAGAAGGCTTCAAGGAGACCTTATTGCAGTCTTTCAGTACTTAAAGGGGGCTTATAAGAAAGATGGTGACAAACTTTTGAGCAGGGCCTGTTGCGACAGGACAAGGGGTAATGGTTTGAAATGAAAAGATTTAGATTAGACTAAATATAAGGAAGAAATTTTTTACAATGAGGGTGGTGAAACACTGGAACAGGTTGCTATGAACAGGTTCTATGAACATTACCATAGATGAATTTGTGTATCGATTCCAGTGTTCCATTCTGAAAAAATTGGCAACACACTCAAAAGGGTTTAAAGGGTTGAACCATTCCTGGGCTGAGATCCTTAATCGGATGATCAATGAATAGGTACTCCCATTCCGTGTGGAAAACTCATCTGTCCCCACACCTTCTGTCCTCTTAGCACCATTCACCTTCCAGACCAGATTCAGGTGGTCAGGATAGAAACCAGAGGCCAGGCATACCAGCGTGGCCTTGCTCTTCTGTTGGATCTCTTGCTTTGATGGGGAAAAGATGGCCACAGCTGGAGATAGGATTTCATCGTTCTTCCCTGAAACAGAAAGCAATAAGCAATACGGCCCAGAGCCTTCACCCTCATATGTCTAAATAGCAGACCATGTGGGTTTTTTGTAGAAATATGTGTGTTGCAGGCTGGATGCTGAATTCGAGATTCAATGTGACTTACAGCGCTGAGCATGCAGGATCATGTCAGTCTAAATGACAATTATATTTACATTAAATTTTAATTGTCTTTCCAACATAGTATGTACTAAATATGCCATGCTATATTTGCCATTTAAATTAAAATAAATACGTTTTTGAACAGAACGTGGCTCCAGGATTTAAAATATAAAGGTACAAAACTTTTTCTCTGGATACTGACCAAATAGCCGAGCTTACTAAAACTAAGGTACTAATTGAAAAAAGAATTTAATTTGCTGGTTTGTTGTCCTAAGCTATACAATGAGTAGTGGGCAAACTGATCTTCTGCATTCACCCTCTATTGTCTTTATCTCTTTCTGTGTATGTCCATCTCCTCAGCTCCTGAGTCAAGATTTTTCTAAAATTTCTTGGCTTATTTCACCTCAATCTTTTCTTCTCCTTATCCTACAGGTTTAAAAATAAAAATAAACAAGCAAATAAATTGACCCCCCCAAACCTATAACCTACAAAATCTTTAACCTACAAAGTTTCCAAAAGAACCAAGACTGAATGTGTTTTGTTATTTAGCAAAGAAATAGTAGGCCGTGTTTTCTTACCCAAGTCAGTCAGCTCAGTTCCTGTCACAAAATGTTGCTCATATCCAGAGCACAAAGAGATAATAGAGTAATAAATCTCACACCCCACACACCTATTGAGCAAAATAAGGATTTAAATTGTGAAGGCTTGCTTCTGCACTACTAATGCCATTTCCACTCTGCTTGAGGAAAAATAAGTGCGCTAGATCCTTGGTGTCTTCTCTTGGTGCCAAAAAGGACACAAAATAAAAGTTTATTAGATTATGAAAAGAAGCAAATGGTACTTCAACTGTGTTTCTCATGCCAATGTCACAGGACTTGTCGGCTCCATCATTTCTATTAAAACTAACTCCTATTTTTTCCTTGCATAAACTCATGGCAATGCAGAAAGAATTGAGATCAGAAAAAACAGGGCTAAATGCTAGACAATAATTCCTCTTGCCGAAAGTCTGTTTGCCTGTGTCTGAAAATATGAATGCTTGAGTTTTGTGGTTCTGTGTGTGCGTTATGTATGAATATTTCCCTTGCTACAGAAACGTTCTGTGATATACCCTCTTTAATTCAGATTCTTCCTATTTAGCTTTTCTTATGCCCTCATTAGATGACTTTACAGAATTATCTCCCACATCAGCATGTATAGTTTTTTCTGATTTTCTTTCTCAGACTCATTTGACCATCTCCTTCTCCGCTCTTTGTCTTTCCCCATCTGTCTGCTAGGAATCCAGTGTATACATCTGAAATCTGAATAGCCAGACAGGATGATAGACAGCTTAGAGATGTCATGGTAAAAATAACTTCAATGACTCTGAATAGTGCATAAGAAACCAGACTGAAACTAAAAATGAAGGGTAGAATTTTGACTCTAATGAAATTAGTGGAAGCTTTATCACTCGTTTCAATGAAACTAGCATTTTAACATTTGGTTTTCTATTTTCGCTTCATGGATCCAGTGTTATACTTCAGGGTCAGCACTAGGTTGCCTGCACCTTACTTGAGAAAAATGGCATTTTCCCAGTTTTCATGTAGCTGGACATGCAGGTCATTTCTCAAAAATGGTATCTGGATCCTACCTTCTGAAAGCACAAATGCTGTCAATTAGGAAATGCATAGATGATATCACACTATCTACAGCTGCAAATTGGTTTTCTTCAGCAATATATCAATTTTCACTAGAACCAGAACACAGTAGGTTTGTTCACTCATGCACAAATGCACTTTGGCACCAAAATTGCCATCTGCTTACGTGTTTTTAAACGTGCTGTGTTGCCTGGCTCTTTTCTCTCTATCTTCTCCTAGAGAAGCCCAGTGAGGATCACCAGATTCTACTGATTTAGGTCCATCAAAAATTCCCTTTCTTTTTTTTCCAGAATCTTAAAGGAATTCTCTGGTATTTGCCATATTTCTTTCTTACATAGAACATACATTTAGTTGTGTCACTCCTCCAAAATGTAGTTTGTCTGCTCCAAAACACTTATCCCCAAGCTTCTCCCATTCACTTTGACGAAGCTCCGCCATAATCACTCTGAAAGTCTCTATGTGAGAACAAAATTGATCAGGACTTTTTTGAGAGACTTGATAAATGCAGACATTTTCACCAAATGTCCTTATAGATTATATTAATCCTAATGTGCTCCAGAAAGAGCTGGAATTATTTTTTATATTCCATTCTGCTGTGCTCTAGTCTACCCTAACTTTATAGAGTATGAATAATGAGGCATCTTGGGAAAAGAACCCATCATCTAAATTCAAAGACTTCCCTCTTTGTTTACCCTTGTCACACTCCCAGAATCTTGCCCCTTGCACAACCTAATACACTCCTCATGATTCCCACTTGCTCAGAACTATTACTTTTGTTCCTTCTCAAAAATACTGGATATTGGCAGAGCACAGCCTCACAGTGTAATATCAAAACTACTCACACCTGTCCTGGGCTGCTGTCCAGTGATAACCATGTTAAACCTTCAAATACCATTTTTTTTGCAGAGTAGTAGCCAAAGGTGTGCTGAAAAGAAGGTATATCAGTCTGTCTAAGTAGTACTTGGTTGTTAAATATTTTGCATTGTTTTCTAATGATGATTTGGATCACAGCATTAAAAACAACCCCTCATTTCTCTATCATTAGTAAAACACTTTATTGTCTGGTGCTGTAGTTTGACATCAATATCCTCACAATTTTTAGGAATCATGATATATATTGTAAGATCCAGTCTCTTTCATTTGGACCCACTCTCGCTTTCTTTCCCTCCAGCCTCCACATCTTTTGCCAAGTCCTTATGAATACCTGTACATCCTTCCCAGTCCTACTTCTGCCTTTTTCTTTTTCATGGACACACATTCCATTTGGATATGAGAGTGGGAGATAGATTGTAGGAATAAGAGGGAATCACAATGATTAGTTCATTCTGAAGGCAATTTAATTCTAGGGAAAAGACTTGGTCAATCATACAGTTCATTTCTGGTAGAATAGAGCCAGTAGACTCAGCGAACACTGAGTAGAGTCTCTAGGAGTTCTCTGCATTGTAGAGGTAGTACATATTGTTCCAGAATACACTTAGCTGACTTGAGGTCTCTTCTTCTTTGGTCTTGTCTCATCCTTCTCACTCCCTTCAGTTTATTCTATTAAGCTTGCTTGCTTGCTCGCTTTCTCCAGAGTTTTATTAATCTGACAAATTAACACCAACCTGTCCTATTCACAGGGCAAATTTAATAACAATAATTCAATTGGTTAATTTGTCCCCTTCTTCTTCACCGTTCCTACTATCTCCCTCTTTCTTAACCTGTCTTTCCTGAAACACCATCTCTAGCCTTATGAAGTGAAGCTCTGCTGACTCAAACCCTTCCACTGCACTTTTTTTTTTCCTTACCTAGAACAGTGATCCATGTTCCTTTTTCAAAATACAGTATTACTGCTGACCTTCATATAAAAATTGTCTGAGGAACTTGTTCTCTTTTCCTCCTCCTCATTGGCACAAAATTTCTAATCTACCATGCCCAGAAAAGCCACTCCTGAAAGATTCCCCACCCCTGAAAGAGCTGTACTAGCCCCTGGAGATACTACTTCACTTGCTACTTCACTTAGGGAATGTCTTACAGCATTGAAATACCAGGACCACAGGGAAGATCCTGTTCATCCTTCCCTTGCAGTCCTTCAATTTCTTTACTTCCCTTTCTTTCAAGCTTAACAAAAAAATATTTTCATTTAATCTGTTTTGACGTTAAACATCCTCTTCCCCATGAACCTACAAATACTGCTTTTAGGCATGGGATTTAGCAAAACCCTGACTGTCAAGTGTCCCAGACAATGACTTTTCTTTTCTTTAGGCCATTTGCCATCATATATCCTACCATTTCACAGTCCAGCAGACTGAAGTGTAATCACACAGACTGATATTTGCCCTCATGCCTTACTTAATTCTGCAGAATTTTGAATCACCTAACTGGAAATCCCTTACCCATGCACACTTCTTCCTATAATTCATAAAATGATCAGGTGCTTAACCTGCAAAATCTGTTTTCTCCTCTCCGATAATTAATGTTCTGCCTGCTTCAAGTGATGAGGGACCCAAAACTAGATGTCATTTTCAAGGTGAAGTTTTATCATAGCCACCAGAAAGAATTCCTACTATTTCTTGGGAGATGTTGTTTCAGATATGCAAATGCTGGCTCCCACAGGAAGGTCAGTACCTCTGGCATGTGCTAACAGAAACGTTTGTCAAATAGGGTGAAAGAGAATTGACAGATGCACTCAGTTTTGTTGTCAGCCTCTACTTATCACTCAATGTAGTCACTGAGGTCTGTTATCTGAAGTGGAGAGGGAAACCATAAGAAAACAGTACATATCTGTTGTAACAGTGTTAAGGTTTTTGAAGGGTAGAGGAAAAAGAAGCCTCCATCAACTCCTCTCTTCCCTCCCCATCTTCTGTGATCTAGGAAGTTTTGGACACAGGAGTTCACCAACTGGGAAGAGTGGGGAGCTGTTTATTTTCTGTTCTCAGGACCCTGGGACCCTGGCTTGTGCCAACAGATAATTGTCCCCTATTCCATGTCACACTTGGCACAGAACTTGCTCACCAACCTTCCTTGCTTCCTTCACTCCAGATTATATCATTTTTTCCTTTTGTTTCAAATGCTATTTCTCAAATATATTAATCCTTTGCTTGGATTTTCAGTCAGTAGTCCCTTGCCATCAATCCTCCTCCTCCTCATAAAATACATAATTAGAGCTCTAATTTGTCCCATAATCTATCTTTCAATTCTGAATAGAGTGTTAGTGCCTTGATCTGCAAGTTGTCTCTAGCTTATGAGTTTTACTTGAAGAATCAAAACATCATCATCTTTCTTCTAGGAGCTCCCCCACTCGTACTCTGTCTGTGTTTCTCTTTGGTGTTTTGGTTTTTTTTTCTTTCCCCTTCTTCTGTATCTTTGTCTATTTCCTTGAATCTTCCAAAAGCAAAAATCACCTAGAGGGTCTTTTGCAATGATCAGGGCAAATATGGCAAAAAAAAAAAAAATGGCAAATATGGCAAAAATTATTTATGAAAGTAACAATTTCATAGGAGGTTGCAGAGAGAAGTCTCAAAGCA